CGCATCTAGGTGGAGGTCACGGGTCGCATAATTTGACCATTTGAAGTTCCTAAATCTGCCATCAAATTGAAAATTATGATTAAAGAAACCACACCAAGAAAATGATAATTTGGGAGTGAAAAGGCGAGGTGAGAGGTGGAGAACTTTTTAAGGAGAGTTCAGAAAAGTTGAAGGAGGAGGTGGAGGAGGAGGAGGAGGAGGTGGTGGTGGTGGTGGTGGTGGTGGGAACATTTTTTCACAAGTTCGATAGAACGATCTAGTGACGAAATGTGCTCGTAATGAGCTGGAGATAAAAAGTGCTTAGGTCTGTTAGACCAGCAAGAAAGGCAAACATTATCTTGCATTATTGTGACTGGAACGGAGGACGTCTTTAGCATAATTTGAAGTTCTGTAAAACAGCAGAAGGCTACTGGTAGAAGTGTTGAATTCTTTTGGTAGATCCTAACGCGCTGGTTAACTGGCTCGACAAACACTTTCTGGAATTCTACTCCGAAGTGGTACCTGCTGGTAGAAGAGAAGTGCTCAGTTAAACGCCACGATTCTCAGTACGTGGGCGTGTTCTTCGTGAAAATGTATCTGCAGACAAAAACGATGGCTTTCCAGTACGGAATTACCGGAAACACGGTGCATGCAATGATAATAAATGGATCTTTGGACTGTGTCGCAGGGCATCGATATCAGCTACTTCTCCATACACAAGCAAGATTCAAATGCGTTGATGCAGATCACTGAAAACTCGGGAGAGACAGGTTTGTCAAAACATTTTGACGAACTGATGGCTTTACAGAGGTCGACTCAAGTTGGGTTTGATCACAAAAATATCGTTGATTGTCAGGAACTATGGATCTACTTTGGATACACTTGCACGCTCGCCCTAAGAACCAAAATGTTTGAGGTGTCTCTTAGACAAACAGATCTGGCGTGTTTTGGAAGTAGACGAAATCCAATTCGTAGTAATCCTACACGAATTTATTCTAATTTGTTCTGAACAAATTTGCCTCTGATTTTGAGCTATATCGACGATAATATCAACTAATTTGGATCTTCGAATTCGCAGTTTTTCATCGTCACCAACATGACGCGTCAAAAAGAGCCTTTACACGTTAGCTATGCTATTCTTTTCAGCTTTTAATGTAAATTTTTCGAGCCAGCAATGCGACCTAGGCGCCATGTCTACGTCCGGGCGCGCATGTGTGCGTCTTTGTGTTCACGTGCGACACCCAGGCCCTAATCACGTCGGCTTGCTGCGCACTTCAAAGGGCATTACTTGAAATAGCCCCTCACCCCCTCATTCATCCACCCGAACTCCTCCCCCGCCTCTCCCTCTTACCCCCATTCCACTCTCAGGCGACCTTCCATATTTCGGACAGTAATTACACCCAAACCGGTCTGGTCAGATGTCCGCATTTAGACAAGGATTGAATTGCGGTTGTTAAAAACGACTTCAAGGCCGTCAACAACCGCGTAGATCGCAATTTGTGCATTGCGGGGGTTCCGCTGCATCGCCATTTCACCGCTGACGTCCAAACTACTAGCAAGCTTTTAAAGTCGTGAATAGAAAGACGAAAACAGCCTCAGCAAGCCTCAGGCAACCACGAGATTGTGTTTGCAGAAGTGCGTGGTTTCGCCAGAGCTCATGCTTATTTGATTGGCCAGTTTTTCTTACCCAACTCCACTTCCGGTCTGTTTGTGCAGATGATTAGAAACCGGGGTAAGAGTAAGTAATTGTTTTCCTTAAATTTCTTGTTCATTTCGACTTGACGCTGATGAGATCTCCAAGTGAATCCAAACCCCCCCCCAGGAGCGTATTTCTTACCAGTATAATTACATATTGAACACTGGGTATAAACAGAAAACCAGAAACGGGAGCACCTTCACAAAATCACACGCTTAAAAGCGATTCCCGACCGACATTAGTCTTTGATCTTAATTGGACAGGTAGACGATGAGAAAGAGGCGTGCCCTGGCCAACGTCTGTACTTGCAACTGGGCGAACGTGTGTATATTTACTCCACGAGACACCACAGCTATCAAGTGGCGCTCTCTTTTATGGGTCCCTGAAAACACCGGTCTCTGCCTTCAACGTATTGCTGCTCCGTCCGTTTACCACGGTGCTGGCGTGTTCATTTGTAGGGTGTGATAATTGACTTAAATGCGTAAATTAGTTGTTGGTGTTGTTGTCTATGGTGTATTAGTCTTTGATCTTGCCGGTAGCCATGTCTTGTGATTTGCGGTCAACTTTAAATCACTTCAGATTGCGTGGGAGTAACCTCCGGCGTCTCTTCAGCCAAGAAGCTTGAAAGGGTCTCTCGTATACTCGCGAACTTGACCTCGTCACAGTGCCAAAACAGACTCTTTACGCCTCAAATATTCTCCTTCCAAATGCCTTGTTTTAATGCACTTTTAATTTTTATGGGTCAGGTTCTGTAGAATAGTGCTTTGAGGTGGGAAAATTCACGCATTAAGAAATCGGAAATGGCGGTTTTTTGTCATCTACTTGTCGCGATTGCTCGGAAATGAACATGGCATCCAGACTTTCAACAATATCTCGGAAAGGCAGTTTTGTAGGGCAATTGATCGTCAATGCACTCAAGGATGTGTCAGAGCCGATTCCAGAATATTAACCTACCTCCAACAAATGCGACTGTTTGTTAAATGTAAAATTTCATCTTAACCTTAACATTGATTACGAGTGTGTAGAAATGGGATAATTTCTGCAGTTTGATGCACTCAAAAACAACTAGCACGCATTTGAATGCTACACAGTGGATTGATAGTGCCAATGAACGTTTCTTCATGTGACTGCAAAACACTATGATATTTTTTTGTAGTTGAAGAAATGGCTAAAAACTGAGCCCCAAAATATGCAATTCAATGTCATTTTTGCATGACAACGCTGCCAGTTTGACTGCAAATACGATGCAAGATAAAATGGTAGGATTACGTATTTCATTAGGGCAAAATACGAGCAGAAACTGCCCGCATTACATGGAGCATTGAAGGATTTATGACATTGCGCTAGCACAGTAGCCCTCCCGGGCAGATTTATGGCCAGGCTGGTATTCGTTTTGTTAACACCAATCACAGCTGAAATACTGACCTCACGAGACTAACTCGAATGCATTGCATTTATGAAAATATCCTTCCTTCTTAGTGGATCAATCAGCGGTTGACAGATCAAAGGAACAGATCACTGAGCTATTAACTGGTGCGATTAGGCGGTGCACAAGCAGCAGGCATTGTCTAATGAGGCCAGAGTGATGACGGCGGATTTGTTAGAAGTTAAATTACATAATTAATCGTCTCAATTTCGGCCGCATCAGTTCACAGGCAACTGATGAAGTCTATTAGTAATTACAGCTAGACGTCCCCTTCTAAGTCATTTGTCTTACACCTCTACCCAGGCACCTCGAGACGAGGCCATAAACGAGCGACTACAATGGAACACTTGGATGACAAAGGCACCAAATAAAGAAGATCTTTTGTTAGCTAAAAGTGCTTGAACCAGGCAAAGGACTATTCGTGAAGCATCTCTGTCGAGAGTGGAAGCTGTCTTTGATTATCAAAGTACTCACGCTGAAAATCAGCTCGCATAAATTGGCTTTCACAGCTTCACTAATTCCTCATTAATTCATTGTGTTCCGTCAAAGTGCCAGATTCACTTATTTGGACAAAGAAGTGGGACTTTATCCAGCTCTGTTGGACTGCAAACTACTAAGAGACGTGATCGTTTTTTTCGGAAATCCGACAGCAATCGTAAATGACCAAAAGGAACGTGCACCAGTCGATTGAACTGGTAGACGTCAACGCATTGTGGTCCTAGAAGTTCCTGTCCGATTCGCAATTAACTTAAAAACGACAGATCTTCACGAAAACCAGCATCTGATGACCACCATTGCAGTCTTCCTCAATTCTTGGAGCTGTCTCTCAGCGTTAGGCAAGTTTTTGGCGTTGTCATAGTGAGAGATGGCGCTTTTCTGCTTGACAGAATGTTGACAAGTTGCTGGCATTTTAGCTGTACTTTATTAGAACTACTGTTTGGTCATTTGGAAATAAGCCTGTAAGTACTCATTCCACTGAAATCTTCAACCAAACAGGGATGAGAGACGCGCAACTATCCCTTTGACACTCATTAATTTTTATGCCTCCAGCTTTTTAATTCTTGTTTTCTTGTTCGACGTCAATCATGCTTGATCTTCAATGTTTCGTTCAGTCAAAACTTGCCAAAACCATGTAGGTTGAGTTTGAAAGTGCATCCAGTCTGCTTTAAGTAGCAAAGTGCGGTTGAATTGTCAAAACGTCGTCTGTCAGCAATCGCGACTGCGGTAATCGGTTGGAACATTATTCGGAAAACCGTGGATAAAGTCATCGCTTGATGTCGAAACGCCGAATAGAGTTTTTAGCAAGTAAACTTTTTGAGCTAAACGAATGATAAATCCTGGTAATTGAAGTTGTAAACACAAATCGCCTTTTTATCATGGAAAATTTCAAGTTATCTGGTTGTTTAACTACACCGCCAACAAAGCCCTGCAGTTTTGAGTGACTTTAAGAAATGAGCTCAGGTGTTGGTGGTGGCGAAGACTCAAATTTGGATGTAAGCGACCTGAAGTAGTCTCGTGAATTCGTGGTAAACTCGTTGGCTTTTGTCACTAACTGTGAGGGCTTTAACAAGCATTCGAGATGTCGCATATAAGTTAACACTCAAAGTCGTCCACGAGGCAACTGTCGTGTTCCAAATTCGCAACTAGAGGCATTTCTAATTGGTCATACCGGTTTGTTACGCACACACACACATGTACACATCCACACACATACACTCCCCTAATGACAATTTAATAGAGGCGTGCACAAGGGGTGGGGAGGTGTTAGGGGGGTTTGTGTAAGTATTTCGCAGACCGGGCAAACGGTCGTTTCCCATTGGCTTATTAAGGGCATGTGTGCGCCCAAACGTGCACGTATAAAAGTCCTCCTGCATACCCACTAGTGGTATAGTAGTAAGCATGCAAATCGAAAATATTATCAAAGATATTCTACCGCCTCCGCCGCAGCCGCCACCACCACCGCCGCCTCCACCAACACTGACAATTTCGCAGGAGGACCTTATTACCTGTGGTCCCAACGAGACAACGTTCCCCTCTCAACTCCTTCAGCTGAAATGGCAGCTGTTCTGCGTGCAAAAGAGTCAACAGGAGCTTGCGAGTGCAATCCTCCAGCTGAGTAGCCTGATACTGGCCAATTCTGCACCGCAGAATCCGCTGACGTTTCCACATCTTCCACCACCAACGCAGCCACCTCCACCGCCAGTCCTAGGCTTCCAGCCAAATCGACCCCCGACGAAACGCAGATGGTCGTCGAAGGAGGTCAACGGCAGTTCGCCGAAGTATTCCATGCTGTCACCGAACCAACCCAAGGTCAAGCAGCCGGAAGTGGCCCTGCCCTGTAGGTGTGACGTTTGTCAGAAAAGCGAGGGTGCTGAGGACAGAGCACCAGACGTTGGCACCGGTCAGACGCCGCTAGACCTGTACGTCGCCTACTTTCTAAATAGCCTGGAAAACAAACACCTTCTGTTGCCGCCACCACCACCCCCTCCGCCACCGCCGCCACTGCCTCCAGTCTCTTTAACTACGACGATCTCCGAGCCAAGAACTTCTCGACCGAATGGAAGGCTTCTTGCACAACCACAGGTAAGTCAGTCGGCATGAATCGTGCATGGCTGGCAAATTCAGTAGAACGAAAAAGAAAGACCGCAGCATCGTGTTATTTGCTATCGATTTTCGGTAACTCACTGACGAAAGTAATGTGGAAATCTCAGCTTGAAGTAGATCAACGATTGGGTGCTTATAGAATAAGGTAGTTTTTGTCATTTTAATCGACTACCAGCGGAGCTCCAACTTTCAGATAGTAAAAAGGAGTGTTTTTTGTGTTAAAAATGGCAGTCGTTAACCAGTTAGGCTACCTTAATGAACGACGACCCCGAGCTATGCAATGTGATTCAAAATATCATAAGGGTAAGTAGAAAATTAAGTGCTTCTGAAATTCGATGGCAAGATTCAAGAGGGAACAAAGAATGAATCTTTTTATAAGCATGTCGGTAGGAAAAATGGATGTAAAAGAACGTCAGAAATGGGTTTGAGGTGAAACCGGATTGATTCACGCCTCAATTCAGTGTGCATAATGTTTGATTTTGTGGAATGGGTACAAGATCCGTTTTCTGGATACCACTAGGAGGCTTGATTGTGGCGCGCTTGTCGCACACACACGCGTATTTATGTAAACAAGCGGAAATATGCAAAATGAGGTCACGGAGCAGGCATTTTCGCACAAACTTTGGCGTGAAAATAAGCTGGATCGGGTGTAATAAATAAACGCATCGGCAGGGTGCCCACGCACGCACGCACGATTTGACCAACGCTCAAAGTCACGAAGAGCTTGAAAGGCCGTCGGAATGGACGTTCTTTCTCTCCCTCTCCATCCCCTTCAAAGTCACCCATGGGAATAAACGCGAAACGGCAAGCTCGTTCATTATATTCATACGCAAGTGCGTGCACAGTTGAATGGGAGAAATAGACGGCATGTGTTCGTGTGTGTGAGAGAGAGTGAGGGGCATCACTGCAACTAATCGAAGACACTTTCATGCCTTAAATTCCCAGCTGATGCGACAGAGCGGTTACGTGGGGCTTAAGTTCGACCCCTGGGTGAATACGATTGGTTAGGTCTAATTGCGCTCTCTGTGGGTGTGTGTGTTTCAGGACAAACCACTCGATCTGGCGACGCATTCTCGAACGCGAATGCCGAAGATTGAGATCACAGACAGCCTCGCTAGACCTCGTCCAACGTGCAGCCAGCCAGCAATGCCCGAGTACGCCTCCGAGATGACCACGTCGCCAAACAGTCTCAATCTCTCGCCGTCTCTGGACTCCTCACCTCTCTTTCCCTTCCAGAAGTCACATTCAGACGGAAAAAGAGATCACGCGCCCGTCGTAGATGACATCCTCCAACTCGAGGCGGCTTCCACGAACAGCATCAAGCCATCCTGGTCACAGTCGGGCATCCTCGTGGAAAAAGACAAGGCGGTTGTCATTCTGAACCCCTCTGATCCTCGTGAAATGTTCGTCGGTGGTGACCCTAAAGTGCGTCTTCCAGTTTGGGCCTACAAGAAATGCGTGTACATGGTGGGACGCGAACAGAAGCGACCAGCTGCCAGACTGTGTCTCTGTCTCCTGCAGTCCCTCTTTAGCTTGCGATACCTCGTGAGCCACAACTACAGCGGGTCGCGACAGAAACGACCCATCGATCCAATGGTTATGAAGGCAGTTCTGAAACAGGCAATGATGCAATTCGGCAGGGGTGACAACGTGTTCCCAGGCTCTGAATTCTCGCAAGGCAAGCTGCGCGACTACCTCAACAACGCGTTCCGTGTGATGGCATTTCGCAGGAGACGCGGTGATCGTGTCAAGTCGCCATTCTGGAACGACGCCGGTGATCCCATCTTGAGTCTTGATCCCCCGAAAGACTTTCGACTTAATGACATCATCCTGACTAAAGTACTTCCTTCGTTTAGATAGGCTGCTAACCAAAATGGCCATGTTTGCATGCTTTGATATATTACTATCCTTATTTGTGAACTTAATGCTTATTCTTTTGTCAAAAATTTCCTGTTTTTTACGTGGTTCAAGTGTTGGGTTAAATCGTATTTTCCGTGGATCAGCGAGATTCCCAAACTGACAGGAATTTATAAATTGCAGCCAGTTAACAAGCGTCAGAGTAAATTCGATTTCCCATTGGACATTGCGTGAATTGTGTTCACCTGGCTTGTACCAAAAAAGGTAACTTTTTCCCACTGAAGATATACGACATTTCTGCAACTTCTCACGCCAACGCTCTTTGATGGCGCAACGTAATTCAATCGGCAATTCGACAGATTGCACTAGTTCAAATAAGGATGAGGTAAAGTGCAGCTGGAATTTGCGGTCAGACATACCCGAAATGGCTTTCTTACGATTGGCAATCAAGAAGACTCCTTTGTGGGGAGAACACGACCAGAATAACACTAAATGCTTTAAACAAAAGCAGTGTTTTTTAAGCCACAAGTCAGCTGTTCAAACGCAGGGCCAAAAAACGGCAATGATTTCGTTCAGAACCTTTTCATGCGCATTAAAATGCAAACGGCTTTGCATATAAAAGTTGAAGTTTATTTTTGTGCAGAACCACGGCAAATGGAGGGTTCCGATAAGTTGAATGGTTGAGAAATGGAAGTTCAAAATGCCGTCGACTTTCGAAAAGAACTGCCCAACGGTGGGTACCTTGCATTCTGATTCTTCTCATTTTGAACACTGGAAGGTCCGAATTGTCATCATGGCATTCCCGGTTCCAAATTTACCGTACTCACCTCCTCCTCCTCCTCCTCCTTCATCTTAATCACCACCGCGTTCAATGCCATTCTCAGTCGTCAAAATATTCACCACCTCTTCCACCATCGTGATTTCTACCGCCGTCGCACTATCAGCACCACTTTATCGATTACAACATCCACAATTGCATCAGCTACCGAGGTGTCACCCCTGTCTGCACCATCGACATCATCGCCGCCTCTTTCACCACCGACATTGACGTCACAATCCTTGTAGAGGGGTAAAATTGACCTTCACTAAAATTGTGTCGGACCTTTTTGTTACGTTTGCCCGTAAAAATAGAGAATACCACTCAAATAACGGTACCAGATCCCTTGCTGAAAGCTAGAACAGACCTTCCCAGGCTAATACCAGAACAAGAACAGAGCTCGAGTAGAGAGCTTTATTCACGTGAGCCACGTGCAGAGAAGAA